CGTAGTATATATATAATACCGTACTTGAATGACACTCTGTACAAGGTCATGGTATGTGTACTTTGACCCCCACCTGTGCACATAAGATTAAGTTACCTGTATGTATGTATGTGTGTGTGTGTGTGTGTATATATATATATATATATATGTGTAAGAACAAAAATCTGTCTGACTGTTTGTCCATTATCTAACTACTACTATGTACTGGACCAACCCCAACCAAACATTGTACTATGATAGTTTGGAACAAGGGGCATATTAATGGTGGGATCACAATCCCTTCATCCCCCATTATTGCTGTTGTTGTTATCTACAAACTACATTCATAGATGGTGCTACATCCTTACACACACATATTATTAAATTTTCTATAACACAACATACAAAGTGTGGGGGAAGGACACACACAAATGTCTTGTATATCTTGGAGAGTGCTCTAGCACTCTCTATAGATAAATGCAATGAAAAAAAAAGGCTGCCACTATTACTCAGCTGAAGTTTCTACTCCAACAGCCATCATAAAGCTGGTGTGAAGATCCATTTCTTGAGTTATACCTACTTCCTAGTTTGACACAAGACATTTCAACTTTTGCCGGTAAGACACTTCTGCTTCAATGAATGTCAATTTAATTAATCATGTGAAACACTGTGGAAGAGCTGGGTATTGAAAGTTGGTAAAAGAAAGCTCCCCTACTGCCACTACCTCTTCTTACAAAATCACCCTGACTATCACACGGTGTATTCTATGTTTTAAATATTAATATCTTCAAGCTTATACAAACTTTTGGTGAAGTAATAATGAATACTGTAATAATCTGTTATGGTATAAATAAATTGTATTATTTATCATACATCCACCCCCACATTTGTGCAAGTTCATAAGCTGTACAAAGGATGGGTACCTCAATTTTTGAAAATAATTTATTTTTTCTTTTGTAATGCAACTTCATTTCAAGTTGAAATACAGAGAGAATTTAATAACATCAACCACAAATCTGTTTAAAGTTGTTTTAAAACTTGTTGCCCTCACATGATCAGAAATTAACCATTAAGTTTTAAAACTTGGTTTAAAGTTAACATTTTACATGTACCTAATTGTTTTTGAAATCCTGCTTTAGCATGTTGATAAAAACACCAGCTTTTTTGGCACTTTGTCCTCAACCCCACTAGAAGTTTCTTTGGACACCCCCACATTGTATAAAGCAGCATACTGTATTCATACCTGCTACTTACTGAATTCTGATGAGACTCCTGTTAAAAGTATTCTGGAGACCTTGTAAATTCAAACATTTCAAATGTAGCAATGCTCAATAACAAACTGGGTCTCTTTAATTGTATCTGTATCTTTGCCATAATACACAGAACTATGATATCTCATGGATTTTTGTTGGCTACACAATATTTAGTTGAACTCTTACTTCTGGTAAGAATGGAATTGAAGACTGGTTCAGGTTAAAGGTTAGTTTGTTTTGTTTAATGAACACACTGATTTTTAAAGTGGTCTTGTTGTGGTACAAGCACATTTATATAGAAGGACGTACATCTTATATCCACCGTTTTTACAGTGATTTTTCATTTGTTTAACAACAGCCTTTAATTCATGGCTTGCATTTTATAAGCTACAGTTGACAAAGGTGAAAGTTAAGATAACTTTGCTTAAGTTTTCTTGTGTTATTTATTACTTCACTTTTCTTTGAGATGGATGGTGCTATGTTGAATTGATTACAAGACTGGTGTCAGCTTACATTAAGTAAAGTATCTGTTGGAATGCAAGATCTTAGGTTCTTCACTAAGTATTGAACTGTGACATTAGTGAACCAATCTTTAAAATAATTGGGAAAATAAGTAAAGATCACAAATAGGAATATAGAAAAGATTATTTATTAAGTAAATGAAATCATCTTTAAACTAGAACCAGTCTTCATTTCAGCACTCAAATTTGAAATGTGTTATATTTTATGTGTAAAGAAGATAAGCTAATACTTCTTGTAGAAACCCAGATAATGTTGTTTAATTAATTTATTATGTGATGAAAAGTGGAGGTTAAACCATCTATTTACCATTTAAAGCTCGTCTTTTTTGATACAAGTTTTTATGGGTCCACTTTCGTAAGTTAACAGTGTCTGTGGTTGACATCCAATATTGGCCAAGATATTACTAATGGTGGTAGATGTTTCTTTCACCTGTGCCAAAGAGATTCTCATATTATTGCAAGACAAGTGTATTTATCTAAAATCAATACAGAGCTGCATGCAATTACATATCTTCTTTCATATATGTGTGTGTGTATTTATTTATATATATGTATACATATTTTTTTTTATATTAGGATTCTTCCAGAATCAATTAGGTGGTATATTTCTAAGGAAAAGTTTGAAAAAGCAAGAAGAACAATTGAGAAGGCTGCTTTATGGAATAAAGTTGACATGCCAGATTCTGTTTATACCTCAAAATGAGGAAGTAAGTTTTTACACCTTTATATTAAAATGCACTGTGAATAGTGTCAGTGTTTATACATGTTTGAACAAGAGGGAATCCTCAATAGTTGCAACACTTGAAATTCTTTTAGGCAGGATTAGAGTAAATTAATCTATGAGACTTTTTTCCTTTTTATTAGCTATATTTTTGTGCACCAGCAATACCAAGTTAGGGAGCATGTATACCCAATTTGATTTTATTACTCATCAAGATCTCTACCAGCCTACCCTCAAATTGAAATTATTTTAGCTTAGAGTGGATTAATCTGAGACCTTTGGTGTGGACAAATATATCAATCAAAAGGGTTTGATTCTCTTGAGTCCAAAGCTGTAATTAGATCTCAAATCAAGGCAGTAGGAGTTGAGATGTTATGGGTATATGCAATCAGCTCCACACTCTTAATTGATTTTCCATGATTGTTAACTAGTTTTTCATCAGCGTTTGGATTTTGTCTGATAGATGGGATATCCCCAATGCTCTTGGGAGATATCACCACAGACAATTTTAGTCATGACTTTAAGGTTATGACTGGAAATTAATATGGACTGTACAAAATAATTTTTAGGCTTAATTTATATATCTATATATTTTAAATATATGTGTGTGTAAATCAAAACTGAAATGTCTAGTGTGAAATTCAAATATATGTGTGTATACACACAGACACACACACACACATATGGCAAAATACAATCAACTATTTTTGATAATAGAAGGGCATTTAATTTCCCATTCTTGGTCTACCCACCCCCAATAGTGTTGTTCCAAATATAATGCTAAAAGGAATTGTTTTATCACAATTAAAAATATTTTTAACTGTTTGTAACAATAGCAATTCTTTTATGGATAATGTTATATTATTCATAACTCAGCTAGAAAATAATGGTTATAAACACTGGCATCTGAGAAAAATTTTTCACACTGTTTCATAATAAATATGAAGATTTTATAATAAATATATTTTCGATAAGGAAAATACCTTTTTTTGTAACTAGAGGTTATCTACTTTTAAATAGATAAGTTTAATTAATATTTCAGAATAGCAAGGACTGGAAAGATTAACTTCAAGTAGCTGGGCTTATCTCAACTATCCCATGCTATACTTGAATGATTTTATGAGAGGAACTACAAAGAAATTTTGTAGTAAAATAAGTAGTTCATTTGAAGATCTTTTAAATTTTATTAAAAGCCTTTGTCATCATATTAGAAGAGGGTGGAGGTTGGGATTAATTTATAGTACAATTTTTAGGGTGGTTTTATTCTTCTTTTTTTACTTTAGGAACTATTAGAACTTTTAAGGGTGGAGGTTGGGAGGAATTTTAGTAGAAATATTTATAGGGTGGTTTTATTTTATTTCTACTTTTCATATTAGAAGAACTTTTAAGGGTAACTGCCTTCCCACAACTGCTCCAGACAGTGAATGGCAGTAGGAGTTGAGACGTTGTGGATGTAAGCACTCAACTCCACACCCTTAATTAATTTTCTATGATTGCTAACTAGTTTTTCATCTGCATTTGGATTTTGTCTGCAATAGGATATCCCCAAAGCTTTTGGGAGCTACCATCACAGACAATTTCTGTTCTGACATTAAGATTATGACTGGAAATTAATATGGACTGTACAAAATAATTTTAAGGCTTAATTTATATTAAATCTATTATTGTTTTATTGAGCTGATTTTAATTGCCTACAAACAACTAATGTAATTAATATGATAATAGTTTTGAAGCTATTTTCTTTATATATATATATATATATTTATAGGGTGGTTTTATTTTATTTCTACTTTTCATATTAGAAGAATATATATATATAACGAAAGTAGCTTCAACTTTGTGTATGTGTTTTGTATATCTTAAATCTTCAGCCTTGCTCTTTTACATGGAAGAATACATTTAGATAAAGTTCAAGTTATAACATACAACACTTTTTGAACATTTTTAATTTTTTAAAAGAATCCTCTATCAAGATCATTAATATCGGCAAATACACCTGAAAACTGAAAAGAAAACTCTCAAGTAATGAGATTAAATTCATGTGTAATCCAAAGAAAGATGTTAACATTAAAATTCTAAAAGGTGACAAAGGTAACACTACTGCAATCATGAAATACACAGGATACATCGACAAAATGAATGACATTCTTTCCAGTAAAAATAAATTCAAACCCATCCAAAACAACCCAGCAAACACACATGAAAAATATCTAAACAGAACCCTGTTATAAATGAAGAAAAATAATTTAATTACTGAAGATCTTTATTATTGTCTATGGAAAACTAAATCATGGACACCTTAACTCTTATTCATAAACCACTAAAACAGGACTGCCCTATATGACTCTAACTACAAGCTTGGCAGATATCTTCCCAGTGAAACAATCACTCCAAACCTTAGTTTTTAGAAACTCACACCACAAATAAGCAACTTTATTTATGAAATATAATGACTTCAAAGTTTATTTATCAGAACTTGCAACCATACCCTAAAACCAGTTATTAATAATGCCAATAATCAAATCAAAAAACTAATCAGAATTCAATAACAGAACAATTGGAATACATTTTGCATATCAATTGATGAAGTGGAACCTAACTGTGAACTTTTCTGGCACAAAACCCAAACAACTTGTATATCAAAACAAAACATTTATTAAATGAAAGTTTCCATTCTTATTGATGATGCTTTTCCATCTTAAAAAATGGTTTTTAATACCCTGATTAAAGAAATCACTTGGCTTTGAAGCAAAAACATGTTGATGTCCTCTTTAACACCTTCCACATTTGCATACATTTTCCCATT